TTTTTCCTCGTTTGTGGCCTCTTACTAGACTCTCCTCTCTCGAGCTTTCCACTCTTAACTGCCATTTCAATCATTTCTCTCGCTGTAACTACATCAGCAAAACTTCGATAAGGATTGCCGATAAGATGCTAAAAAAAAGGAGCCCTTAAGGTATTAACAAAAAGTATATTTGTTTCCTCCTCTTCCAATGGTGGATGGACTTGCATCGCTACATCTCTCCATCTTTGAGCATATTGTCTAAAACTCTTGTTAGAATTCTTTTCCATTCCTTGTAACATCATCCTGTTGGGCCTAACATCTTTCACATGTTTGTATTGCTCAAAAAAGGACTTGGCCAAGTCTTTCCACGATTTAATATTAGCTCTACTCAACTGGTTATACCACCGGATTACCGAGCCAGTTAAGCTTTCCTGAAATCAGTGTATCAACAATTGATCGTCCCCTATGTATTCGGTCATCTTCCTACAGAACATCGTGATATGCGCAGAGGGACACCTGGTACCATCAAACTTCTCAAAGTCAGGAACCTTGAACTTTGGAGGCAAAACCAAATCAGGAACTAAACTTAATTCATTTGCGTCGAATCCATAGACATTGGTATCTTCTTTCATGGCTCTGACTTCTCTTTCTAACTGTTTTCATTTCTCTTCCAGCGGATTATTTTTGTCATTCTTAGCTTCTTCATTAAGGTCTGGAACTTGATGATATTGATGTTCTTCTTGATACGAACCAGATCCAGGCTGTACGTTAACAGAAGCACCAACTGGATTAATGTGCACCTTTCTGACATGAACAAGGGTCACTTGAACGTTCTGAGATTGTTCTGGGGTTAACCTTGGAGGATAAAGTGGGTCCTCAATTACAGCTCCTGGTACAGGGCTTTTTCCATGTTTCGAATTTCTTCCTTCCAGCATACTCGCAAACTTGGCAAACATCTCCTTTTGCGCATTTAGCATGTCTTCTTGCATTTTCTTGATATTATCTTGTAACTCCAATTGAGCCTTCTCAATTTGGGCAAGTTTGTCCTCCATAACTTTCTTCCTGGTTCTGTAGGTGTGCTTGGGATTTTCCAGTATTACTCTGTCACATAGTCATTTTGTTATCGCTGATATTTATTAATGAATATGAAATATATGATTATGAATGAATAAAATGCGATGCAAAAATTTAAATGTATTAAAAAATGTATATGCAAAATGCAGGGTGTTGATCCTGGAATGACTCCTTAGAACAACTCTTTATATTAGAACGACGTTCAATTACAAAGTTGAAACATATCACAAATAAATCTGCACCATCTCTCCTATTTGTTGTACATGTGCTAGCAACTCCACGATCTTCTGGTTTTCTTCAGCCTCGGGATCTAGTTCTTCAGTCACATCAGCAGCTTTCTCAGATAGAATGACCAAATATTGAGCTAATCTCCACGTGTGTCCTAAGTAACAAGCAATAAGGTCCTCTCTTTGCTTAACTCTCGCCTGAGCTCGCTCCCATCGAAAACGCCACTATATATCCCCCTCATAAGGAACTATCGATAGCTCACTTGTTTGCCTCTGAAAATTTTGAACCATGGCTTCAAGCTCACTCACTTGTTTTTTCAGACTCTCAACTTCCCCACGCTTGAGCTACCTTCCCTGTTTCGGTATTGTCGTAATGCAGTCTCTAAACTGGAAATCTTCTTCTTCAACTTCTCGTTATGGGCTTGACTCTCTTGTAACCACTACTCTAAAGAATCCTTTTCTTTCGATAAAATCTTCACTTGGTGCCTATTTTGTTTGAGCTCTTCTTGACTCTCTTCGGCTACTCTTTTGAGGCTCGCCACCTCTTGCCTCAATTCGACAGACTTACTTGAGCTAGAACTAGCCTGAGCTTTTACCATTCGCTGATAAGTTGACCGAAGATCGTCAAAGTCTAGCCGAAGTTGCTTCTCCATTTTTTCAATTCGATCTACTTTACTCTTCTGAATGTCAATCTCCAATCCCTTTTGATACACTTCATATTCTAGCTTCTGTAAAGTCATTCTCTATTGTCTCAGTTCTGCTTCGAAATCGCGCTTAGCTAACTCTAATAGAGATGGCACCACTCTCAACTGTTCCTCCACCGGCTGAAAATTTTCAGGATTCACTATCGGAATGTTGTCATTTACTCGACCGCTTCTCCACTGCTCGTACTCTTGAGACAACTCGAGATCATAAGTGAACAGATTCACACGACGAGTTTGCTTCCAGGCCTCAGCAACCCCTTTAACTTTACCCTTATACTGATCTCTTTTGAATGCAAAATCTGACCCTACCAAGTCCCATGTGGCTGGAATGAACTGTCTTGACCCATATTGTCTGGAAATTAGTAGCGGTGCATACCCAACAGAACCCCATATACCTGACAAAGGAACCCAATCTCGCTCTCCACATCGGTAAAGTATATCCGAAGAGACATTCCACGAAGCTCGCCACAAAATATCACCATATCTGATATCCTTGAAGATGACCATCCATTTTTCTTCGGTGAAGCCCCCAGGCCATTCTTTAGAAAGAAAATCCTTCAAAGGTGAAAACCCATCTATAAATATTTGTCCTGGTGCCCTTTCAACATGTTTGAAATGACTTAGAATCCACACTAGCAACAAAGGTGCACACCCTATAAAGCGTGCTTCTCCTTTGCGCCTACAAGAACTCAAAGACCGGAACGTCTCAGCTAGAATAGCTGGAACAGGATCCACGCACTTGTCTAATCTTTCAAACAAGTCAACGACTGATACGTCTACATATCCTAACACCTTTGGAAAAATAACGCGCCCATAAATCCCTAAAGCAAACAAGTCAAGCTTCTTTCTCTTATCAGGGTGATGAGCAATTATTTCTTTCAAAGCAGCCCAAGAGATGCACTCACTGTCTCCCTTCTTCTTAATGTTTCTGATTACCCAATCTTCACTCATTCCGGTCATTAATAGTAATTTCTTCTTAAATAAAGAAGTGACTGACAGCTTGGTATATATTCTATCTATCTGGGACCTCGGACAACGGACCAAAGCTTGATACTCCTCTATTGTTGGTATTAGATCCACTCTACCAAATGTGAAACAACTATAAGCCGGATTCCAGAACTGCACAAATTCTCTAAACAAATTTAGGTCAATAGGAACATCCAGAAGATAAGGAATATCGCCGTACAACTGATAAAACATCTCCCTATCGGCTGCTTCCTATCTTCCCCATACCTCTCTTAGCTCACTCAGATCATTCTGACGTACGTTGATGTGAGTGTAACCAAATAACTACGACACATATCCAGGCATCACGTTGTCCCCATTGGTCAATTAAGACTGTTCCGACCACCTCAGAACATCCGCATTGTCGTCAACCTCTTTCTGAACCGTTCGTTCCATATTACTGGCCTTCTATATGGACATCGATCCCAAATCAACACCATGTAATGGACGTTGCAATGCAAAACATAAAAGAAATAAAGCAAAGACAACAAAAGATCAGTTATTAAACATAAAGCAATTAAGTCGGGATAATAATTTGTTAAAGAATCCTACCCACATGCTGGCTATCCAATCATGCTTTATCAGATCCTACCCAACATGATATCTACCCCCATGCTTTGTTATTCACAAAAAGAAATCCTAACCGCATGATATCTAATTCGCATGCTTGTTCAAGAAAAATAAACTCTCTAATTAGTTAAGACAAGCCACTCAAGACAATTTTAAATTAAAAGGGTATTACCCTTAGTCCGATTATGTATTTATAAGCCGAGTTATGCGAATGAGGATATCATGCATATTCATGCAACAAGGATGTCATGCCAAAATCAATTAAACAAAATTAAAAATATCATACAACGTGACAAAAAATTATACATGTATTTTTTAATTAAAATTATAAACTATGCATATTAACATATAATGTATAAGTGTGACTTAAATACAAAAATAAAAACCAAGCATATACTGAAATCAGAATAAATCCTAAACATACATGGGATTTAAAAAACATGCAAAAATCTTTAATTCAAATGTCTAAACAACAAAAATTAAAGAAATTACTAATCATGACTAATATTAAATGAAGTGGAAATTAAACATATATATCAATAATTAGAACAAAGATTAAATAAAAATGAGCTTAACTAATAAGGATATAAAAAAATTTATCCAAAAGAATAACACAAAAAAACTGAAAAATAACGACTTTAGGACACATAAAGAGGTAAAATTCAAATACAAACACGCTAACATAAGAAGACTAAAACCTAATTTTACCTTTGTATTTGGTGACCAAGAAATAATTAACCCAAAATTACTAAGATGTATATATTAAACTAAACCTAATATTAAACTAATCATAATCTACTTCACGCAGGAACCCAACCTCACGCTTTACGCTTTACTCTTTACTTTCTCTGCCTCACACTTTACTCTTTACTTTCTCTCCTCCTTTCTTGCGTTTCTATTTCAAAAAAACTTAAATGAAGACTAACCCCTCATATAGTCATGAAAGCTTCCTAAAAGAAATCCGATTTAGACTCCAATGAATGATGAACGCCTTCTTGGAGCGATAAGGTAAGGTTCTTTATTTTTTTATTCATTTGGATTTACAATAACGGGTATTCGGTTCTTGGTTGCCAATGGTTCAAAAGGATAAAAAAAAATTCTGTTTGCTCAATATTTGGTTCGAAAATCCCTAAAATATGGTTTTGTTTTTTTTTGTTTTCAAGTCCTTTCTGGTTCTTCGATGGTTTATGAAAGAAAACCAAATGATTTCATTCGATCTCCCAAAACAGAATTGAGAAGGTCCAAACAACCCCTAAAGCTCTAAAGTTTCAACAATTCTACTACCGACGATGAACTCTAGATGATTAAGGTAATATCTCTAAAACGTACACCCTTTCGTCTTTCACTTCATAATTCGTTTATAAACTACATATTAATAGAAAGAAAGAAATCAATACTGAAAATAACAATAAAATATGAATAAAAAAGAAATGAGGAAAACCAATAAGGAGCATAGACTTTGATTGTTTTTGACATCATTGTTTGTTCTTCGTCATAATCTTGCTCAATAATGAGTTGAACAATCCTGCAATACCGAAAACATCAAAGATATCAGAACATCGAAGATTTTTTTTTAACAAATTCAAGAAGCTTGGATATTTGAAGGCAATGTAGTCTACATAAACCTTCCAGTGATTGAACTTCTCAAACTTATTGTTTTGGATGGAATTTCACGAGGATGTGAGATCAGAACAGCTTCCTGTAAATCAGTAAAACTAAAAATAAATATGATAGAAAAGACAGTAAAAGTACAATCTAATTTCCCTTCAAATCTCACATGTAATGGCAACCATCCTCTTCGTGGAAGTAGTGAAAAGAATAAAGGATTACATATATTAGCACCGTATATATTTACAATTCTTCCAGGGTGTGATATTCCTCTGGAGCAGGGAATGAAATGACCACTTGTTTTCATTTCAAGGATAGAATATTCAGCAGTAAAAGGAAGATAGTTGGTAATAGATAATGGGGATTTGATCAGAATACTCCAGTCCAGGATAGGATCCGAGTGGATGTCTTTTGAAATCTCAGTTGCTTGCATGCCTAAACAAAACCAGATTTTATGTGAAGAACCATTCGAAGATATCTCACTTAGCTGGTTGCAGCACAGCAATTCCTCAGACTCAGTGAGAGCTGATACATATATCTCAGAAGTTCCCTTAGGCTTTCCAGAAACTTTCAGTTGACCAGGATTTCTAACTACAGAACTCCAAGAATACTTATCAGAACCACCAAAACTCGAAGGTCGCAACCGAAACACAAATGGTGCAGACTGAGTTAAGGCTGATAAGGGAAGTGGCACAGTATCACCAGGTTTCAACTGGCCAACAAATATATCCTTCCTTGCATCAAGTGATATTTGTTTCCTATTCCTGATCCATTTTCTTTGCCTAGCAGAATTCAAAGATATTAGAGAATCATCTGAATCGGGCCAGTTCAGGCTTTCTATATCTGGAGCATAAATCCATCCACCCCCAGTACTTGTTGATTTATCCAAGTGCCAATCATCTACCCACTCCCAACCTGAAGGTAACTCAACTCCAGAGGTTGCCTGCAAACATGCTTAAAAGCATATAAATTTGGAAACTTGCAAGCATACTATCCAATGATGAATGCACAATCTACGTAAGTAGAAGAGGTTCAGAAAGAAAAATATTTTGCATGTTCAAGGAATTGAAAGAAAAAAATATAACTAAAAACTAGATGAAAAAAAAACTCATCATTTCCTCAAAGATAAAAGTATGAAGTGATACAAATGGCAATGTGTTACAAGATAATAGCAGTATACAACAGGTCGTGGGAATGGATGAAGAAATAATAATGTCTATAATTCAAAATGCTACCATATAAATAGAAGTTTTATAAACAAAATCTTCCAGTTGGAACAGTGAACACTTTAATGTGTGAATTAGAGAATGCAGAAAAGAAAATTAGTTATTCTGCAAAATAAGTAAATGCTATTTTTTGGGTGCAAAAAGGGGTCCAAGACGCAGGCTTTGAGTTGCCACTCTTACAGCTAATAAACGGTTAACTTTGATTCTTACCTGCTGGGAGCCTCCAGCTTGTGGTTGATCTGATTCAATTGAGCTTTGTAGCCAATCCATCCAACACTTGGATCGTATGTTTCAGTTTCAAAGAACTCATCTGTCTGAATTCTGTTACCATCAACTTGTATACCTTCAGGTGTGTTTTTGTCAGCAGGTCTCTCCATTATTTCACTGGAAGCGTAGGATACGAGATTTAAATCAAGTACAAAATCTGTGTTGTTATGTACAGAGACCAGAGACCTAATATTTACATTTCTTTTGCCATCCTTTACATTAACTTGACTAGCCACAACATGATTTCCTAAACGCCAACAAGCAGCTGGTGCTGCATAGTTCAGCCGCACTGTAGTCCAAGGGCCCTCCATGTTAGGGCTTATCTGAATGAATCTCGATTTAATGCCACCAACAAAGTATTCATTTGTCTCATCAATGTTAGATTTTGGGGACAAAATTACAGCACATCTTAATTTCCCACCCGACTTCTTCCCCCTCCTATCTGCTTGAGAGGCATTCTGCAAAAAACAATCCATTTAAGCATCAAAGCTGTGAATAATGCTTTAAATAGTTCCACTTAAACCTAGTATTAGGGTTTTTTTTAATACCCAAAGCCTACAAAAATACTCTCTCCATAAGTTCCGAATAAATTGATAACATTTACCATAGCTTCTGACAAGGATAAGTCCATCCACATTAAGCTATTGATCAGATCATATTGAGGGGAATCATCTGTGATGTGCATGGCTATCTGATTCAAGGGTGCAGAAAAGAATCCGATAACGTCACCTGTTAAAGAGATGGGTTCAGTAAGGCAGGCATAAATTAGGAGATATCTTCTCTCTAGAGTAAATGCCATACTGAATTGATACGGTAGTTAAGGTATAATACTATCATAAAAAAGTTTAATGGTAATGTCAAGGTATAATACATGCAGAGGGTAAGTATTTTATTAGCAGAATAACTAGATTTGCATGTAGTACCTTTTCCTACATCAGCAACAATTAGCTCCATTAAGTCGGTGTCCTGGGAAAATTGAACATCATAAGGATATTAAGGAATATACAAAAAGGAAAAGAAAAAAAAAAGATACAGGAAAAGGAAAAGATGACAGAGTAGCATTGGGTGCATTGAAGAAATATTAATGATAAATATATCATTCTTACGTACTGGGGAGTCAACTTTGAAGAAAAATATTTCACTCCAGTCAACCAATTCAATATCAGAAGACACGTGACTTGAGGTGCGCCCGCATGTACGTGCACTTTGTTGATGAATCAGTGATTCACTTGGAAGGCTATGATCAGGAGAAACGCGAACAGCCACAGTATAATGATGAGAAGTCAACCCTTCAACTCTGGGTAACTACATTACAAAAGCATGCAAATGAACCAAATATTTGTCACAGTATAACTAATAAGAGAGTAATATTCTCCATCAAGAGAGTAAAAGTGTCCAAACTTCAAAGACTATACCATTGCATCTGCGATAATGACTGTTACCATTGTTCTAATTTTCCCGCAAAGCTTTCCTTTCAAATGAGAGTCCAGCATATTTTTTGAAACAGGAACTTTTATAGGCTTCATATCCCCAGATGACATTCTAATAATATCTTCAAAGCCTTTATTCTCAGTAGTTCGAATAAAAATGTCATGACCAAGTTTATTTTGTGGGATGATGTAGTAACTTCTCTTGTGGTGGACATCAACAATAGATCTTGCCGGAGAGGTTGGACAAAGTACTTCCTAAGTAATGTAAAGAAGAACTTCAGATGTCTTCAACACAAATCAATATTCCAAGCATCAAACCTAAAATGAGCAATTAGTGGAGAGACTCAAATTTAATTATACACCAAAGAAAATCTAATGCTTAACAGATAAGACCATTTAACAACCCCCGCCCATACGTAACAAAACCTGGGCTCTGATGCCATGTTAAGCATCCGGTCGAAAACTGTTCAGCAGTAATTGGAAAGACACAATTTTAAAATAACACCACCAGGAATAAGTACTTGAAAAATGTGGGATAACATTAATACCACGTAAACAATATAAAGGGATGTTTAAAAAATAGGTGAAAAATATAAGAGAAAAGAACAATCGTATTATCACCTAAACATATCATTCACTGATAAATAGAGTATTATCAAAATATATCAAGCAATTGCAAACAATTACCTGTGTTTTATGATATTGATGAATATCACTATGATTATTCCAGCTTGCGTAAGCTTGAATAATCATATTAGCATTAGACTCTGAGATATTCAAGTTGAGATCCCTTGTGGAGGTAAAACGTAACTGAGATGCTGCGCCAGAGGAGTTGGGATCATACTGATACCTGAAAGTTTACAAAAGATTAGGGCTGAGCAGTAAAGGCCAAACACTAAAAAGGGTTTTTCTATTTTAATCAAAGTAAATATTAGTTGTGTTCTATTCACAACTACTCTTTTTTTGACAAATGAGTAAACATACAGAATAGGAGTGCATCCAAATATTTACAATTAATTAGACGAATCACAATATAATTACCTTAAAAACCCATCCATTGGCTCAACAATTGGCTCCCAGGATTCATATTTATCATTATATGATCTGGCCGCCAAAGAGAAGCTAGCAGTAGAATTTAATTTGTCAGATCTTCCATGTAAACTAAATGCTATTCCACTCAATGATATATTAATCAATGGAACCATCTGCAACATAAAATTGTTGAACAACCAAAAGCGAATTTACCACAACATTATCCATGATTAAAACACACTTTAATTCTTCATATACTTTCAAAAGAAAGATATAACTATGATTTGCCCAAGGACCATAAAGTAACTGTGGAATAAAAGACACACCAGGCCACTGAAGTCATCAAAAAGGGCTACGAAAAAGGTCCCTATTTCTGCATCAAGGACAGTATTGTCTGAAGCACTGTGTAAACATGGATCCACCTGCTTTAAAGCAGACCTTTTTGGAGGTTTTCTGGACCCATCACGGACAACAAAAGTCCCCAAGTCATTAGCAACAACCCAAATGCTAAATGGTTCTGTACCAAACTTGGCATCTGATGTGTCCAAAACACTTTCTTCCAAAAATTTATCTCCAGTTACCATATCACTCCGTATGCATCTTAATGTGCAAAAATCTTGTTGCTTTGGTGGACCTTTACATGCAATACAACCCAAAGAAACATAACTTGGAGGAGCTTGAGGCAACCAAAAAGTAACACTGTCAATTCCTCTCTGTTTCTTAATTTTTCCAACAAGCTGGAATCCTATAGGAGCTTTGTAATGATCGTCTCCACTATCATGAAGAACTGTGCATGTATTAGGAGGTTCATACCTAACACTCAGAAAATAAACAATTTATCAAAAACTAATGAATTAAATTAAGATATATCTGAAAGAAATTAATTCTTAAGTGTCACGTACCCTTGAACAGCAATATCACCAAAATACACCATTCCTAGGGAGATCATTGGACGCCATATAGATAGTTGCTTCCTTGAGCTCGAACCTCTATTCCACCAAACCAACTTAAAACTAGCAACAGCTTCAAAACATCGACCAATATTTACAACTGATGAATTTTCAAACTGCCGATTGTTGACACAACCATGTGAAGAAGTTTGGATTTCCGAAACTCTAGATGGTTTAGGATAGACTTCAGGAGACCTAATAATTATATGGCGCAATTCATATGCTGCAGCTAACAACCTCAAAGTTGTCGGTTCTGCTGGCAAGAAGGTCCCGAGAGAATTATCCACACGCCAAAATGCTAGACTGGATGGATACCTGTAATTTACACACAATAAAAATTCAGAAGAAAACTTAGTTACCAAAATAGCACTAACAATCCATGAAGCATACAGAATATATGTAAAAAAATATACACAGACGACTGAAATCAGAATAGAGATGGAGATTTATAACTAAACATACTGATTGGTGATGGTAATGCAGTCCCTGAGTGAACAAGGAGAAACAAAAGAAGCCGGGATGCAGAAAGTAGAAGACGATGATGGTTGCAATTTCCCAGGGGAAACCACACAACCTAAAGCAATGTATCCTTCAGGAGCTTCAGGGAACCAAACAGAGCAGTTGCTTTCTTGCTCGCCATTTGACAATATTTCGGATTTAATTTCACCTTCACTGGAGATGCCTATGGAATCTATTGGTGGCCATATTTTTTTAAAAGATACGGGTCTGATGACTCTGAAATAGTTGATTTTTACAGCACAAATACCTTTTGTAGGTGGTTTGTCCCTGACAAGTGAAGACTGCCAACATCAAAGCATAGAAAGAAGTAGAAAAACTTTCAAACAAAGCTATAGGAAATAGTCCACTGACAATGGCGTTAGATAGTCACCAAGAACTGCAAAACCCACTAGGGCACGAGCTCTCCAACAGGCATATATATGGTCATTGTTAGGATCCGTAAAGCATGCCCATGCCAAGACAATAAGTAAACCGTGAAAAAGTTCAAACAAGTTCATTTCCTCTAACATTGGTTTAAAAAAATAAGAGTTAAAACATACTTTTAATTGTTCCAACTCTGTCAAACTGAGAACACTCAACAGTGATTTCCTTTGATGTTGTACTTAGAAAGGCCAAAATATCTTCTTCAACAGCTAAAAAAAGTCTCAGGATGCTAAATGAAATATTCATTAATATGTCTGAAACAGATAAATGTATATTTATCTTTCCATAAGAATTCAAATACTTAATTGAGGTGTCAAAGGGCTCCAAAGTGTTGATCCCATTACTCTCCATTGTCAAGCCAAGGGCATTTGCATTCATCTCAACGGTATCACCTTTCATAACTAGCCTGCAAAATCATAACAATATTAGAGCAACAACTTTCGTATTGCCAACAGTTCATGTAACACATTAAAGCCTCCTTCCTACGGGGTGTTTATGGCTCCAGCTTTACATTCATATATTCAAGGAAACAAAAAAAATTCTAAGTATAAATCTGACCATTTTAAAAGGTCTTAGAGGCAAACAACAATGATTTTATTTATGAAAGCATCATGATGCAATATTTATATGATGCTATTAGTTTGGATTATCTAAGAATCAAGGGGTTTAACATTACTTACTCGAAAAGGTATTAATTATACATAAACTGCTTGAAAATAGTATCTATAAAATATTAAGAAGAGATTTGGATTCAAAAATCTCGAGCGAAATGCATCCTTGATGGTGACTAGAACTCAAGATTTTTCCACCAGTGTGCCTCGAATAGAGGAAGAATGAATTCTCTTAGGTTCTTGAAAGTTAATGGCAGGCTGATATCTGATCCCAACCTTGTCAAATCTAGTGTTTTTGAATTCTTTAAAGAAACCTACAATCGGGAGCCTACTTCAGTGGTGGAGGGCTTTGATTTCAATTTTTCCAAACTATTGGATGTGAAGAGATCTTACTTGGAGAATCCATTCTTGGAGGAGAAAATTTGGGATGCCATTGCCTCCTTAGATAGCAACAAAGCTCCGGGCGCAGACAATTTGAACATGGGCTTCTTGAATAAATTTTGGTGGAGCCTTAAAGATGATACTGTAGAATTTTTCAGAGATTTCTTCTTGGGGGAACAAGTGGGAGAAAGGGGTCAATCATTCTTATATCACTCTCATTCTCAAGAAACCTAATTCGGAATGCTTGGAGGACTATAGACCTAGTGGGAGGATTGTAAAAGATTGTGTCTAAGGTCCTTTCCAGAAGGTTGGGAATGTGCATTAACTCCATCATAGGTCCCTCCCAGTTTGCTTTTATTCCAGGGAAACAGATCATGGACTACTCCATAGAAAACGAGGGCATTGATTAATGGAGGAAAAATGGTCTAAAAGGAGTTGCTTTCAAAGTGGATTTCAAATGATCTTACACTCGATTGATTGGTTGATTATGTTGCAAATAATGGAGTATATGGGTTAGGGGTGAGGTGGTGTTCATGGATCTACAAATGCATTTCATCCGCTTTCATATATATCTTAGTGAATCATTCTCCCTCGAAGGAATTTCATATTGCAAGAGGGATTCGTCAAGGGTGTTTTTTTCCCTACTATTTAATTTTGGTTGGGGAATTGTTGAGTCTCTTGCTAACTAAGGCGGTCAAGTTGGACCTATTTAATGGTTTTGTGATTGGTAACTCTGAGAATTCTTTCATGCTTTCTCACTTGCAGTTTGCTGACGACTTGCTAATTTTCTGCAACGCTTCTCTTGGTCAATTGAAGAATGTGAAGAGAGTGTTACTCATCTTTGAACTGATGTTTAGGCTCTAATTAAAGCTATAATTAAAGCTCTCCAAGAGAAGACTTTTCAGTATTTATGTTGAAGATGTTGAACTTAGAGAATGGGTTGTTTCTATCGGTTGTGCGATAGATGATTTCCCGAAGGAGTATCTTGGCCTTCCTCTTGGGGCTAAGAAGAACTCAATACAACTATGGGACACTATGATCCAAAGATTCTATAAGAAATTGGCAGGCTAAAAAGTTACTTCCTTATCTATAGCGGGAAGAGTTGTGCTTGTGAAATCGTTCGTAAGCTCATTACCTACTTACTTTTTGTCAACCTTCAAAATGCTCTCACGTGTTCTTAAGAAATTAAATTCTATCATGGCTATGTTTTTATGGGGTGGTTCAGTTTAAAAAAATCAGATTCATTGGGTCAAACGGTCAATCGTCACTCAATCTAAGGATTACGACAATTTGGGAATTACTAATCTTAATCTTATGAACCGAGCTCTTTTGAGGAAATGCACTTGGAAGTTTGCAAGCGAGAGAGATACATGATGGAAGAGGGTGGTGCGCAGCAAATACAACTTAGACTATTGAGCTATTTCGTTGGAATATGGCCAGTCTTCACAAGCATCTTGGTTATAAAGATGAGTGATTAACAATTTCTTGAAGGACAATGATTTTGGTACATGCTTACGTAATCACCTCCATCTACAAGTTGGCAATCGGGAGTCCATCCTCATTTGGCAGGATACTTGGATAGGCAGTACCAGTTCTTGAGATTATTCACTCTTGCTGTCAATAAAGGTGGGAAAATTACTAAATTTAAATCTCTTTCTTCCTCGGGTTGGTGTTGGGATATCCAATTGAGGAGGAATCTGCTAGATTGGGAACTGGATTAGTGGATTGAACTAATATCGATGATTTTGTGATTTTAATTTTGGGCAGAATGCGGATGATTGTTTTGTATGGAATGGTAATGGGGAAGGTTCCTATTTGGTTAAATCCTGTATCACACTAATGCATGGTAGAATTGAAGCTGATCCTACTTGGTTGAAACATGTTTGGCTTGTGTTAGCACCACCTAGAGTGGAGACTTTTGTGTGACAAGTTATTCATCAAAGAGTGGCAGTTAAATCTGAGCTCCTTAAACGTGGATTTAGTAGGGTTGAGGACATTTTTTGCCCTTTCTGTGAACTTGATACAGAGAATGTTTCTCATTTTATTTGTTTCCTGCAATGTTGCGTGGGATTTATGGCATTAGTTCCTACGTCTATGGAATATAATTTATCCTTCAAGTCAATCTTCTAGCCTTCATTCCTGCCTTGTTGAATTTAATCCCCCGTTCTAATATGTTGAATCTTATTCCCGAGGCTATTGTTTGGTCATTGTGGAAGTGTAAGAGTAACAAGTTTTGAGAAAGGGTAGTTGGATCAAACTCAAATTTTTTTCTCACTAGATATAGATTGACAGCTTGGTTCACAGCAAAATGTCCTAAACTCTCGATATATTTTGACTGCCTTGTTGGGGACCCATCCTTAGCTGATTTTTGCAAGAATGGCAAGAAGCTTTCCCCTTCTTCCCCCCGGTCTCCTTTGCCCCGGGTTTCTATAAAGTCAATGTTGATGGTGTGATGAAAAAGGATTGACAAAGTGGTGGTGTTGGTGGCTTACTTTGGGACTCTGATTGTAATCGCTTGGGGTCCTTTTCTGAACCTATAGGGTCTAGTCCTCCTACCTTATATGAGTTGGTGTCTTACTTTGGGACTTTGATTGTAATCTCTTGGGGTCCTTTTTTTGAACCTATAGGGTCTAGTCCTCCTACCTTATATGAGTTGTTGGCAATTAAAACTGGTTTACTTTTCTTTGTAAACTTAGAATGGGGTACAAAGGGGAGTCTAATTTTGGAGAGTGATTGTGCTAATGCTTTGAAATTGATAAAAATCCTGGCTCTTGCCCTGCCTTGTTTGAGCATATAGTGAAAAAGATTGTTTTGATTATGTTGGAATGTAATGTGATTGTTAGGTTCATTTAGAGAAACGTCAATTGAGAGGCTGATGAGTTAGCTAAGTTAGGAATTGGTTAACTGGTTTTGTTTCTGGTCATGTTGTTATGGTTTTGTTCCTAGTTTTTTTTTTTTGTAGAGTTGGTGTTTGTACCTAGCTTGGCTTCATGTACTCTCTGTTGTCCTATGTTTTTTTATGTAATAAAATTTTGAGGTGCTCTTTTCCTCCTTTCAATATTCGTGGAGATACTTCTTTGGTATTTCGTCGGATATGAGGGGAGTTTTTAACGAGACCTCCTATTCTTATAAAAAAATCCAACCAGAAAGCCTACCTTCTGCAGAATCAGAAAGTATCCAACCAAAAAGATGTCTTTTTCAGAACCTCAAAACCAAACATCATATCTAATTTAATTGATGTATTCTTCGGACAGTGCTAAAGCCTCTGGCCCAGATGGATTCACCATGGGATTTTTCAAGAAATGTTGCCTAGGCTAAAGGAGCAAATAATGAAATTCGTATATGATTTTTATTGTGGAAGAAAATGGGATCACGAGGTCAATCATGCTTTCATTACCTTGATCCCGAAGAAACTAAATCCTCAGTGTTTAGAAGACTATAGACCAATCAGCCTTGTTGATAGTTTATATAAAATTATCTCAAAAGTTTTGTCCAAAAGACTCGTTGTGTGTATTAAAGACATTGTTAGTCCATCCCAGTTCATTTTTATCCCTGGTAGGCAGTTGTTAGACTGTGCATTCCTAGCTAATGAAGGCATTGATTATTGGAGGAAGCAAGGGCTTAAAGGGGTTATCTTTAAAGTTAATTCCGTAAAGCCAATGATATGGTTGAATGGCATATTCTCCTTATATTAATGAAATACATGGGTTTTGGTGATATATCACATGTTCGTGGATATCATACTGCCTATCTTCTGCATCAATCTCGGTATTAGTGAATGGATTTCTTATAAAGGAATTCCCGATGACAAAGGGTTGAGACAAAGTTGCAGTCTTTCCCCCCTACTATTCAATATAGTTGGTGAACTTCTTCATCTAATGCTGATTAAAGCTGCTGATTTGGGCCTCTTTTATGGGTTTGCTATCGGTAAGTCAAAAAATCCCTTTCAGCTGACTTACCTCCAGTTCACAGATGATCTTATTATTTTCTGTCACGATTCTTTTACACATATAAAAAATATCAGGAGAGTTTTGAAGATTTTTAGTTTAATGACAGGGTTACATTTGAACCTTTCAAAGAGTAAACTATACGAAATTAATGTTGAAGAATCCACTTTAAATGAATGGGCCACTTCCATTGGCTGCTCAATAGGCTCTTTCCCTACGGATTATCTCGGCTTATCTTTAGGTGCAAAGAAAAATTCCTAAGTTCTACAGGATCCGGTCATCTAGAAGTTCAACAATAAATTAGCTGGTTGGAAAGCATCTTCCTTGTCAATAGCGGGCAGATTGGTGCTGTTGAAGTCGGTGTTGTCTTCCTTGCCGATTTTTTCTTATATGTTTTCAAAATGACGTACAAAGTAAGTCATAAGATTAACTCATTGATGGCAAAATTTCTTTGGGGGGAGGATCAGTAAAGAGTCGTATTCATTGGGTGAATTAGAAAAGAGTATGTCAACCATTAGAATATGGTGGCCTGGGAGTTTTGGATATGAATATTACTAATAGGGCTTTGCTGGGTAAATGAGTGTGGAAATTTGCAAATGAAAAAGATTCCTAATGGAAGATGATTTGCAGCAAACACAACGTTAACAGTAAGTCCATGTAAATCAGCAATGCATTTTCTCCTCAAGACTCATGGATTTGGAAAAGAATTGTCAATAACTTCTTGAAAAATAATGACATTGGAGTGTGTTTGAGGTCTCATTCAAGGATCCAAGTGTGGAATGGTAAGCTTATTTTCTTTTGGAATGATTTTAGGTAAATGATACATATTTGAAAAATCAATTTCCCAGGATCTTTGCATTATCCTCCAATAAATGGGGTAAGGTGGCTGAATTTGGTAGTTACGAATTAAATAACTGGGTGTGGAATATTCAAACCAAGAGGAACTTATGAGATTGAGAATTGGACCAATGGGTTGAATTAATGTCAATGCTCAATAGTATTGAACTGTCTGAATTAGTGGATGATTTCCTATCTTGGTTTGGGAAGGGTGATGGACTGCTCTCAGTAAAATCCTATAGGCTGACCCTATCTAAAAATTATGGGGGAAGTTATAACTGGAATAAGTGGGTTTGGTCGGGTTTGGCTCCTCCTAGAGTCGAAAATTTTCTTTGGAAAGCTTTCCATAAAAAATTGGCAGTTAGAATGGAGTTGAAGAAAATGAGGTTCCCTTGGATGATGTTCTATGTCCACTTTGCCATCAGCATGAAGAAACCGTTCAACATCTTTTCATATTGTGTTCTATTGTAAGGGAACTTTGGAACATATTTTTCAGGATATGGGACGTCTCTACAACATTGCCTCATGATCCTTTTACCCTGCTAAGTTCCTGGTCTGAATTAAGGGCTAATTCCTCCATTTGGAAATTTATTTCGGGAGTTGTTTTTTGGTCCATTTGGAAAGTTAGAAATTTAATTATTTTCGATAATATGAAACTTGACAGATCCTCCCTCTTCTTCATTATTAGATTTAGGTTGGCAAAATGGTTTCTAGCCAAGTTCCCACTCATTCATATTCCGGCTGACTTACTGGTTGGGGACTATACTATTCAACTTAGGAAGGTGCAAAGTTGGCTTATAACTCCAACAAACTTTTTCAAAATAAATGTAGATGGGGCTATCAGGAAAGATGGGTTGGCTAGTGGAATCAGAGGTATTATGAGAGACTCGAATAGTTACACTTTAACGACCCTCTCTGAAAGTGTTGGTCCTGGCCCTCTACCTCTGGCTGAATTGAAAGCCATTAAAAAAGGCATTGAGATTTTTCTATCCTCAGTTTAGGCAATGAAGGGAAGACTGATAATAGAGAGTGACTGCAAATCTGCCATGGATTGGATTCTGTTACCGACTACTGCTCCTTCTTTCTTCAGTACCTTAGTCATGGAAATTGTGTCTCTCGTTTTAGCTAGGACGTTTATTGTGAGATTGATTCCTAGGAGTTATAATTTGGAGGCTGATAATTTAGTTAAGGAGGAGATTGAGTGATTGTTAGGGTAGTTTCTAGGGAGCTTAATGTGTTTTTTGTATAAGTTGTTGTCTATGGTGTATTCTTTTACTCTTATGTAATTCTGATTCATCAATAAATTGAGGTATTATTTTCCTCCTTCCGCTAATTGCCTCTTTAAAAGAGTTAACTATAAGGGAGATTTTAATGAGGCCTTCTACTTTTATAAAAAATGTATTATGTTAAATAAAAAATGTGAAATTTTCATTTTCATAAAATTTTACATAAATACAACCAAGATCAAAAAGAGTTCCATTTTCATATCTAAAATCATAATTGATGATAATAAAAATAACAAAAAAGTAAATAATAACCAACCTTCCAAACACATCCCACTGAGCATGAAAAAGTTTGTTAGATAAGACTTGAGATTCCCCCACATCTTTTGATGCATTATAAAAAGTCAGTTCAGAACTAATTACCTGTAGAAAAATAACAAATACTAATAAAAAGTAATGGTTATAAGATATTATTTATATTAATGATTACAGAGTATTTACATTATACTTAAAAGAAATTATATCAAATCAAGTACAATGACATAGTATCACTTTAATGAAAGTCTTGACATTAGGTACATAGAGGATACAAGGATCAAGATCACTACTAGAGTACTAGAAGTATTCATAGCAATAACATGATAAATCAGTCATAATAAAATAAGCATGGAGACCAAGGATGGACTTAGAGTGGGATGGGTGAGGACGGTTGCTCCCCTAAAAATTTCAAATTTTTTGTATTTTATGTTGAAAAAATATTTTCGCCCATCTAAAATTTATAAGTTTGTCTCTCAAGTTCTATAAGTTCACCCCTCTAATAACATAATATCATGTGTCCGTCTCAAACAGAGACTCCAAAAAATTGCATTATCAAACAATAAATATACATGCATATATTGATTTTCTCAACTTTTATTTTTTAATTTCAAGATTTAAAAAAGCGTTAATTGGAATAATTTTCTTTTAATAATTAATAAAAATATTGATGTGCATCAACAACTTTAAATTTCTTAAAATAAAAGGAAACATCGAAGTGTTAAATATAATGTAATGCAAAATATATTGTACAAATACAAATTAATTTTTTATTTTTATTTTTTAAAAAATATAGTAAATAGTCAAAATTATAAATTGAATCCAATAAGTTGTTTATCAATACATATGTAAGGCACAAGGGATCAAACATGAAAATATGTAGTTTTGACACTTTTTGAAGTTTCAGCAGACAAACATCTAGACATAACTCATAGACTTGTACCTCATTATCTCGTATTACTTATACTACCCACAACCATTTCGTAAAAAGGGAGAATTTCATTGCTCAAATTTGGGATCCCTAAACTCCACCATATCTTTATCACATAATTAAAACACAAGTGGCTTTTCCACCACCCGATTTTTCTATTTGGAATGTCCTTTTATGTTGCTTTCCTACTTGTAACAATCCTTGCATATACATATCTATTCAGTTTCCCAGAAAATTACTGACTAGTACAGACCTAAAAATCTGCTAACTTTTGGGAAAATAAAAATATACCCTGAAGAAAGAGAAAATAATATAAAGATAAATATAAATTAGAAAAATTAAAACAAGGAAACCAACAAACCTGAAACTCAATGATGAACTCGGAAGATTTATCAACCATAGCATTTTGAGTTAACATATCACTAGTAATTTTCCTTGAAGCATCCACTTGTTGGCCTTCATCCCCTCCCTCCAAGTAGACAAGGTCATCCTTTGAAGCAGAGTAGCAGCTATTGGATCCCAGTGAAATACATGAATCTATATATCCATTCATAGTACCCGTTCTTGGTAAAGATGTTGATTTACCATGTCAAGAGAAAAAAAAATAGTTAACAAATTATACCTTGATATGAACATTCTTGAACTGCAATATTTTCCCACTCCCAACATATATCATAGTCTCGTTACTAGGTGCAGAAAGATCAACTCCTTCTCTACCTTGTAAATGCAATATTCCACCATTACCATCATAAATAAAATGATCAAACTTTTTATCATCGGCAATTAAAGGTTTCAGAGGTGACAATGAGAACTGAGCAGATGGTTGGGTGAATGTTGACTTATCAAGAATAATTGCATCTACCATACGTAAAGACTTTAGATCTTCTTCATTTGATAGCATACTACAAACTGCAGGAACAAAAAACTCAACAACTGCCAGCAAAAAATCCAGTGCTACAAGAACTTGTGGCCTTTGGAAACAAACAGATAAAGATGTCGAGAATTGAACCAAATTAGCATCAAGAAGAAACCTCGTTGGAAATGTTTTAATATTATTTTCTTTCCTAACGTTTGCATTATATATGACCTGGCCCGTGGTTTCATCAACACAAACCAGAGGATTCTTTGGCATCCCTATTGCCAACCTAAATTCTTCTTTAGTTCCAACACGATCATCAATCACAGAAAAGCTCTTAAGACTTGCTGAAAGAAAACCTTTACCTAATGTATTAGACTTGTAAAGAAGCCATGCACCTCTTGCCTGCACAACAAAGATCAAAAAGTAAATCATATGGTTGATATATATTGTAACTAATGTAGGATATTATGTAATTAATAGATACCACTTTAGCTATTATAGGATCTTTTTACGTGAATATGTACCCATTAGGTTGATGCATAAAATACAAAACAAAACATTATCTTCCTAATATTCTACATTGTATAAGATATGCTAAAATTATTCTAGGATTTGTTTTGTAATTTTTTGTTCACCACACAAAAAAAATTTGGGATGTTTACGGTGAAAAAGGTTCATGTCGAATTTCGAAAGGCATGCTTGAGAGGTTTTTTGAAAATGCCAACCTAGGGAGGTTCGTCGTGCGGTTGGCCAGTTCTCGGTCATGAGAATCTCAATAAATGATCCACATGTGTCACCACAAGATCTCACTAATCCTTCATGCGTGGGAAGGTTTTCTTGTAATTCCCTACATTTCTAAGTCAACGCATGAGGATAGACCCAAGAAATACCAATGTGAGTTGGTGATTGGAATCGTTGGGCTGAATGTGAGCCAAAACGGATGCAATTTGAGCCCAATTAACCATAAAAAGGATTTTTTTTATTAGAGATCAAAAGAGGAATGACAAAAAAAAAAGTTAGTAAATCATTGATGAAAATTAAGTTGATTCTCGAGTTTTGTGTGGGTTTTAAGGGAAAAAGCTGAGCGCTTCTCCCTTCACAATCTTCTCTTTCTTCTTTCACCTTTTTTCTCCATAATTCCCCATTTCTCCAAAGGGGAAAACTAGGCCTTTTGGTTGGATTTACTCAAAAAAAAAAAATTACTAGGCCTTTTTTATATAGAGTTTGAATTCAATAAGGTAAGATTAAGTTCTGAAGATTCAAGAGTTTCATTTTAAGCTTCACAGCTCCATAAAAGATGGTATTTAGTTTGAATGAGGTTTTAGAGTGGTTTTGGCTCTTGAGCTTAACTAATGATTCGATCTCATTTTTAACTTCCTAAGCTCATTTGTTTATTCCTTTTAAGCTCTAGTTTATTCTAGTAATTTGTTTTGCACTTGTTTGATTAGTTCAAGTGGTTGAATAGCATTTTAAGTGCAAGTGAGAATGAGAAGGCGAGTGATAGCCGAGTAAAGGAGCTTTATTTTGATATTCTGGCATCAAGGTAGTACACTTCCAACTTTGAAATGCTACTTGAACTTCATAAATGAGATGCTTTATTGGGTGTATATGTACGTTGAGTGTTTAAAGTACTAAAACATGTTTTGTATTCGAACTATGATATTTGATGTTAGACATGAGTTATATTTGTGTTAAATGACCCGATGTAACCCCCTATAAGTCTTAAGAATTAATTTAGGCTTAAACTAGAGTGTTTGAGAGGCTTTTAAAATGATTTTTAGCTTAAAAATAGTCATTTTTGGGCTAAGGTATCTATACTTGAAGAATAGTATCGATACCGTATGGATTGGTGAAGAATTTAGGCTAAAATGGCCTTAAATACCGATATTGTTCATCAATATTAATACCGAGGAACTTTTGAATAATTTTTTGGTATCGATACGAATCAAGGGTATTGATGGCCTAAGTTTGATATCAATACTCCCTGATTTTAAAAATCAAATTTGACTTCAAAAAGGTTGGTAGGATCGAAGGATGACTCGTAATAAGAGAATTTTGCCTAAAGGCTGGCTCAAATTTGCAAATGTTATTAAAATGACCCTTTAGAGTGGTAAGTAACCAAAATATCCCTTGGTAGGTAAAAGTTTACGAAAAATCCCCTAAGTGTATCGAAATTGAAAGAGAGCGAAAAATTGATAATTTGTAAGCTATCTCTCAAGTCTATTGGTAGATTATGAGAAAATGGAATTAAATATGAGTAGTGATTCATTAATGAATGATCAACCTCTAGATGAAGAATATGTTATGTGAATAATGTCTATTGATATAAGTTGTTTTCTCAGTATCTCATTTTATTTTAACTTTTACAAAGTAAGTTCTTTTAAAAACTACAACCTAGAGATTTACTTCTTCTAGGATTTCTAACAACTGTACAATAATTTTAAATCTTAAATTAGAGATAAAATTAATCCAAACTAATTAAGAGTTATATAGAAATAATAAACCCAAACTACCTAAGCTTATTTACAACTCACGAGAACAAGTTACGTAATGATGAGAGATGAAATTTCCTCACTTGATTGTGTTGGCGGTGATGGTTGAGTAGCTGAGTTATATGTTATGAACTGAGGAGAATACAGAAGGAAAAATCGAAGGAATAAAGGTTTTAGAAGAAGAAAAGCATAGAGATTTCAGAAATCAGAATTTCATTCATTCATCAGGTGATTTCTTTCTTCCCTAGTACACGGTTTTATTTGCATTACAATGTACTATGGCAATTGTGAAAGTGACAGCTGTATAACTAACTTCTAACAGATTCCCTGCAGATAAGAACTAAATATTTTCCTCCTTTGGGCTGTTGGCTGGATTGCAGGCCGGTTCTTGCTGCATAGGTAATGGACTTCCCTTTTTTATATATATTGTTTTAATAATCACTTGCTTCCCACGTGCACTCTCCTCTTTCATCCAATCCCTAAATTTCCCAATTGATTTACTCTCAATCCCTAACCCTTCCTTAGTAATTCCCAAATTACTTTCTTCGAGTCTAACTTCTTCTTCTCTGCCTTCTCTCTCGTGCATGACATTACCCCCTCCACGAGTAGATCCTTGTCCCCAAGGATCGAAACTTGGAAACCGAGACATGAGACTGGTATGAGCTTCCCAAGTATCGTGATTTGAGTTCAAGTTCATCCATCGTACGAGTAAATTCTGGCAGAAAGATTGCAATCTTAAGTATACTTCTTCTCCAATTTGAAACTATCGTTCACTTCGATTTTTATCAGCATGTTGTTTAATTCTGTTCTGCAATATATATGGGACCTTATGCACTGTGAATTCTAAACACCATAGCAGAGTAGGTGGTTTATCGAAATTCACATTCACTTCATACAACACCCCATGATTGTTTTGTGAAACTTTGTTCTTCCCTATATCTTTTGGGCTCTCATTTCTCCGTTTCAATGTAACAAGTTGCCCAACTCGAAGACCAACAGAATAAAGAGGTAGAAACCCAATAGCTAAGCATGGGTCTTGGATTGGCAGCTGCAAGATTAGAGCACTCCAAAAGATTAAATTCTGACTAGTATTGAAACTGGAACAATAATCGTTCAAAGCTTTGTAGTTCACCAAGTTTCCATTGTGACCAACTTCAGTAGACCCAAACTTATACCCCACATCTTTCTTATATTTGCCCTAAACCCACTGTTGGGTTTCAACTTTTGGAATCACTTCAACAATATTTAGTTGACCACCTTCTATTTCTTTTCCGATAAGAGCAAGCATCTCTACCATTTGAAGTTTAAGGAAAAAAATTTCAATTGATTCAGACAATCTAAGTTCTCCAGCAGCTGAATCTGATCGAACCGATGTGTACCCAAATAACAAAAGACTGTTATAATCTGCATCAGTAACCTCATAAGTTTTAGCATTAACCGCATTGATGAGAATGATTGTTCTGTCAATAATTTCTCCATACCAACTAAGGAGAGTTGATCCTTCATAGTAACTAGAATATTCTTCCTCCCTATAGTATATCTTTGAATCCAGAATAGTCCAACGTAATACACCCTCATATTCCATTAGATGAGTAAACATAATTTTCTTATCTGCCACCAACCCACTTAACATGATATTTGCACTATACCGTGTATAGTTTCCAACACTACAAATTCCCCTCTCTTTCAGATGATCCTTGCTCTGAAATCGACCTTTTTCTTGCTTTTCTACCATACAGGTTATATCATCATCAATTAGTTTGACAGATTGCAATAACTCAACAACAACAACATGCTCTAGTCCTGATTTTTTAATGGATTCTGTTAGCACAATATTATCCTGCTTTGCAACAGTAGAACTTTTTTCTGCACCTGTTGAACTATTCTCAAATTTTGGAGATTAAACATAACTTCTTGACCTTGTGAAAACATCTTCACTCCTTGCTTTGCTCCAGCATTGTCCTCTTTCTTCAGTTTTCACACCATAATATACAGTATTATAAACAGGTCTGACAAATTTTGACTCCAATAACTCATGAACATCAAGCTGTTGTCTTGATTTGCAGATGGATTCTGCTGGTACCGTACCATCCTGTTTAGAAACAGTAGAAGTGTTGCCTGTACCTGAAAGGCCACTCATAGACATGGAAGGTTGAGCAGAACTTCTTAATCTAGTGACTCGACCAGAGACAACCTTTTCATTCTTTTCCTTGCTTCTGCAGTCCACTCTTTTACCCTTTTCCACCTCATAACTCACAACATTATTCTTCGTTGCAACAAAAGAATTGTTGCCTGTACCCAACGGCCCACTTTCAGACTTGGAATGATGGATATAACTTCTCATTATTTCAAAATTATAGCCAACAATATACCTATATCCACCTAAATAAATTACCATAATCTGTTCATGCCCAACAGACATATAAATAACAAGAAAACCTTTCCTCTTTAATGTTCGGATTATGCACGGATGAAATTTAATTTGTTGTTCCCCCTGACCTTTAGGACTACTTAGTTTCTTCCTAGTCCCATTGACTTTCAAGTTGCACCATGCATGAAAACAATCTATGCCAAAACAGAGACTACCCAGTGCATTCTTGGAGTCATGAAATAATTTTAGGAGACCACTGAAAATGCTCGGTATACCCAACTTCAACAGAATAGAAAGCGTAAGGTGCAACCTTTGATTCACACTCCAATTCCTAACCAAATAAATTATACTCCGTCCCATCCACAAAAGTCTAAACACATAAGGATCAAGGGTCGAAATATGTTCATTGGTAGTCATAAACATCATGAAATAAATTTCTCTAAGCATGGATTGAACTATAGAATTCAACTTATTTGAGTTACCAGCTGTTTGACACTGTAGAAAATAAACCACCTTTGCCTTTGAAGGAAAATCAACTAATTGTTTCTGTGAGTTTATAACCATTTGAGTCTCGCCCTCCAAGAGTCTGGATAAATCCACGACAAATGGTTGAAAGGTAGCAACTTGAATCGACATAGGCAATTCTTGATTTTCTCGCGAAATTAGTTTGGTGTATCCAACCAGACTGACGTTCTGCTGCAGTCGATTTTCTCGCGAAATCAATTTGGTGTATCCAACCAGACTGACGTTCTGCTGCAGTCGATTTTCTCGCGAAATCAGTTTGGTGTATCAAACCAGACTGACGTTCTGCTGCAGCCGTGAATTAGCTTTCATGGTGCTGGTGATAGATGGAAATACAACACTAGCTACACTTGCTGACATTTTATCGAACATTTGAGAAACGTTATATGTGCCTTCTATTGCCACCGATAACATCCTTTTAGGAGTGAGGAAAATAGGTTTAGACTCACCCAGTTAAAGTTGACCCATTCCTTTCTCCCCATGAATTTGTTGTTCCTGTAGTTGAGTAAAGCAATCCCCATTAATTTTCTTTTGCTCACTCTTTTTATCATTCAAAATATGTAAGATCTGCTCCACATATCTTTGATTTGTTTCCAGTTTAGATTCCAACGTACTCAATCGGCTTTCCTGCTTTTTCCACCATTTAGGAGGATTAGTTTCATCATGTGATTACTTCATCAAAGCTGTTAAATCTTCAAGTTGTTTTCGTATGGCAGAAAGATCAGGATTTTCTGGCATTGTTTGGTTTCTTTTTGGCATACTCAAGCGTTGATTGCCAGGAGTGATGGCTCTGTATACCAATTTGTTATGAACTGAGGAGAATAGAGAAGGAAAAATCGAAGGAATAAAGGTTTTAGAAGAAGAAAAGCATAGAGATTTCAGAAATCAGAATTTCATTCATTCATCAGGTGATTTCTTTCTTCCCCAGTACATGGTTTTATTTGCATTACAATGTACTATGGCAATTGTGAAAGTGACAGCTGTATAACTAACTTCTAACAGATTCCCTGCAGATAAGAACTAAATATTTTCCTCCTTTGGGTTGTTGGCTGGATTGCAGGCCGGTTCTTGCTGCATAGGTAATGGACTTCCCTTTTTATATCTATTGTTTTAATAATCACTTGCTTCCCACGTGCACTCTCCTCTTTCATCCAATCCCTAAATTTCCCAATTAATTTACTCTCAATCCCTAACCCTTCCTTAGTAATTCCCAAATTACTTTCTTCGAGTCTAACTTCTTTTTCTCTGCCTTCTCTCTCGTGCATGACATTATCTTGTTTGGCCTTGAAAGGCAATGAATGATATGTGTGACCTATTGTTATGTATGTTGTGACCAAGTGTAATGGTCATTTATTGAATGAATATACATGATGATTGGCCTGAGTGTTATGGTGACATCGAGACAATATTATACATTATGAGTGAGAATTATACTGTGGTATATTTGAGATCAGGTTCCCCCTCTATGGTCTATACTAGATGGTTATGGTGAGACTGGGCGACCATTTGTTATGTTGATTGATTGGTTAGAATATGCTGATGCATGTTTGTGATTAAGTTCCCCTTTTATGTTGAGTACCTAAATGCTATTGTGACACTAGGATCAAATATTTTTCATATTTAAATTGGACAAGATGTAAGGAAGATAAAAGATCTACTTCAGGATATTGTGTTTTTGTTGGAAGAAAGTTGATTTCATTAAGAGCAACAAACAAAATGTGATCTCACGATCAAGTGTGGAAGCAAAATATAGGACTATGATCAAGTCTATGTGAAGTCATATAGGTATATTAGCTCCTCAATGAAGCAGGAATTAAGGTTTTAGTACCTGCAAAACTATGGTGTGATAATCAAGTTGCACTTCACATTGGTTTTAATATAGTCTTTCATGAATAAACGAAACATATTGAGGTTGATTGTTATTTCATTCACACAAAAATTCAAAAGGATATGATTACTATCTTCACAAAGGCCCTTAACGGGGTCATTATCTATGTAACAAACTAGGCACAATTAATATTTTAGGGTTGATATATATATATATATATATATATATATATATATATATTCTGTAATTAACATATGATATTATCTTACCTTTTAGAATATTTATGTGAGTTATAGAGAATATAATTCTATCTCTGAATTTTATTTTCGCTTGCTTACAAAAATAAAGTTCTCTCTAATTTATAGAACTTTAGAGAACAATCCTAAGTAAACTACTCTACAAAACTGATTTAGAGATAAGACTAGGAATTTAAATTTGAATTTTAAACTAAGGAATCTATAATCTAAAATTTATACTTGTATAAATGCTTACTATGTTGATGAATAAAATACACAAGAAAGCATTCTCTTCCTAATATTCTACAATGTGGAATAAAATATAGACATGCACATGCAAACAATTTATTATATACCATGAACAATCAACTTAAAAACATGCAGTATGGTTTCCTTTTTTGAAGGACATCACATGCTTCCTAAAACCATTCATCTCAAAGAATGAATTGACATAATAGAACTGCACCACACACTTTAACGGAAATTTACCTGTACAGTGGCTAGAGGTGAACCCCGTTCTTCCCCAACATATAATCTTAATTCAACGAGACTTATAACAACAGAAACTTTCAGAATAGTCCAAGTTTCACCATCTGGAGTTCTACGCTCAATACTAACCAAATTTTGACGGATAACGTGTTCTACAACATCTACAGTTGAGATAAAAAAAATTATTTTTTACTGGTGGAACACTATGTGGGATCTCAGATATATTCGAAAGTGCACATTCAATAACAATCTTGTAATCCCTGTCTGACAAGTCTGCTTTCAATTCCTCTATCTGCAAAATGATGTCTCAGACTTCAATATTCTTGTTCCCAAAAAGAGCAAGAAGACTAAAGGTTCTTGCTTCATGTACCAGTATTAATAAATACTACCTTGATTGCAGCTTCAGTACTTGGTACATGATGATCTCGAAGGGACCTGTGGATGATAATAGAAACCCCCTTGACATCCTTAATAATGTTTTCACTTAATTTTGATTCAGTACCAACATTTAAATTGATGTCTTGAACCTGCATTCCATAAGAGAAAAGAGGGAAGAAAATGCATGCAAAAGATTAAATTAGCTAGATTAACAATTGAAATATGATGTACATTGCACAAAATATTTCCCAACTACTTGTCCCACCTCAAATACATTGCACAAGGGAAAGACCATCAATGAATCTCTTCCATTTCTATTCCAATTTCTTAGAATCTACTGAACTAGTCTAGCAAGGAGGATATAGTAATTATCCTCACCAGAATTGTCATTATTTCAAAGTGAACAACATTCAAGTAACTTTTATTGCCACAGAACCATTGGAAGGAATTAGAAAAGAATGAAGAAATAATATGTGTCTTATTTCTTGAATGAGTACAAGGCTCCTTTTATACAGAGTGAAATTACAACAAAAAAAGAAACTAATTAGAGCTAATATTTGACAGCTTCTACTTTCCTACTTTTTCTTGATTTACATATTTTACTTTCTATATTTACATAGAAAGCAAATCCTAGAATATCTCACAGATTATGACTAAATCAAGGCTTTTAATGACCAAATTTCCAACACTCCCCCTCAAGCTGGTTTAAAGATATCTTCCATAGCCAGCTTGCTAGTCAGATTACCAAATTGCTTCTTGTGTAGTCCCTTCGTTAGTACATTAGCTAATTGTTCATCAGTTGGAAGATATGTCATGCATATTATTCCCGCATTGACTTTCTCCTTGATGAAATGTTTATCCACTTCTATATGTTTCGTGCGATCATGAAACACTAGATTATGAGCAATAGCAATAGCAACTTTGTTGTCACAATAGACCTTCATTGGAGTCGAGTAAGAAAACTTTAATTCTTCAAGAATCCTTTTTATCCACATCGCCTCGCAGATTCCATGGGCAACGTCTCTGAATTCTGCTTCAGCACTACTTCTAGCTACCACATTTTGTTTTTTACTCCGCCATGTAACTAGGTTTCCTCCAACAAAGGAACAGTATCCAGATGTTGATCTTCTGTCTGTAACACTTCCTGTCCAATCTGCGTCTGTGTAGACTTCAACTTGAAGATGTCCATGTTTCTTGAACAATAAGCCTCTTCCTGGAATTCCTTTCAAATATCTTAAGATCCTATAGACGGCCTCGAAATGCTCCGCCCCTGGTGAGTGCATGAATTGACTTACCATGCTAACTGCAAAAACAATATCAGGCCGTGTATGAGACAAGTAAATCAACTTCCCTACAAGTCTCTGATATTGTTCCCTGTCCTTTACTTCTTCAACCTTAGCAGCTTGTAACTTCAAGTTTGGCTCAACCGGAGTTTCAACCATCTTACAACCAAGTAGACCTGTTTCTCCAAGGAGATCAAGAACATATTTTCTCTGATTGACAAATATGCTTTCCTTAGATCTTGCAAATTCCATTCCAAGGAAATACTTAAGTGCTCCCAGGTCCTTAATTTGGAACTCCTTTGCTAGTCTTTTCTTCATAATAGTTAATCTTGTTTCATTATCACCAGTGAGAATAATATCATCAACATAAACAATCAAAATTGCAACTTTACCATCTTTTGAATATTTATAAAATACTGTGTGATCAGCTTGACTCTGCAATAAGCCATAACTGATAACTGTCTTTCCAAAGCGGTCAAACCAAGCTCTTGGTGACTGTTTGAGTCCATATAGTGACTTATGTAATCTGCATACTTTGTTACTGCCAAGTTTCTTCTCAAATCCTGGCGGTAGGCTCATATATACCTCCTCTTCTAGATCACCATTGAGAAATGCATTTTTAACGTCAAGTTGATGTAGAGGCCAATCGGAGTTCACTGCAAGAGATAACAACACTCTAATAGAATTTATTTTAGAAACAGGAGCAAAAGTCTCTTGGTAGTCAATCCCATATGTCTGAGTAAAGCCTTTAGCCACCAATCTCGGCTTGTATCTCTCAACGCTTCCATCAGCTTTACTTTTTATTGTAAACATCCATTTACACCCGACTATTTTCTTTCCTTTGGTTAGATCGACAATCTCCCATGTACCACTTCTCCTTAGAGCATTCATCTCCTCCATGACTGCTAATTTCCAATTCGGATCATCCAATGCTTCCTGTATATTCCTTGGAACAAACAAATGTGAAATCCTAGATGTGAAAGCTTTATGGTTTTTTGATAGTCTGTGATAGGAAAGATATTTTGCAATGGGATGTTGAGTGCAATTTCGGACACCTTTCCTAAGTGCTATAGGGACATCAAGATCAGGAATACTAGGTGAATTGTTGGACAAAGTGGAGGAAATCAAAGGTGTAGTAGGGATAGGATTACCTGAAGTTTCGACACCAGAACTTAAATCTTCAGATTGGTTTTGTGCAGGGTTGATATTTGAGTCTTTATTTCTCAAATGAAATCTCTTCCTAGTATAAAACTGAAGCTCAGAATTCAAATCACGTTGATTAGTTTGTAGTACTTCTCCCCCTGAACGAGAATCTCCTTCATTAGGCACCAACAAACCTGGTTCTCCTAGGTAATCGTTATTAGAAACACTTGAATTTGGATTTTCAAAGCGACCACTCTCAGAAATGCATGGTTTTTGTGTAGGATAAATGACATTGGGTAGTAGGATAGAAATGTCCCAAAAATTGTCTTCTACATCACTTGTCTCCCCCTGAAGAGAATTTTTTGTGAAATAAGGTTTTGTTTCCAAAAACGACACATCCATACTCACATGAATTTTTTTGTTTGAGGATCAAAACACTTATCCCCTTTTTATTTGAAGAGTACCCCAAAAAATGCATTTAATAGTAGCACGTGGGTCAAGTTTTGAACGAAATTGGCATGGAACAGGAGCATAGACAGTACATCCAAAAAGTTTGACAGGTAACTCAGAAAACAACCTTGTTCCAGGAAAAGATGATTTTAGGCAATCGAGTGGTGTTTTGTATGTTAACACCTTAGTAGGCATCCTATTTATCAAGTAAGCGGCTGTTAAAACTGCTTCACCCCATAAGTATTTGGGAACATGCATGTAAAATATTATGGCACGTGCTACTTCAAGTAAATGTTTATTTTTCCGTTCTGCAATGCCATTTTGTTGAGGGGTATCCCGACATGTAGAGTGATGAAAAATCCCTTTCTCTTTCAAAAAATCACCTAAGTGCTCATTAAAATATTCCGTTGAGTCACTATTGTTGCTTGATGGTTATGAAGGGGTTTTTTTAATGAGGCCAACCTATTTATCAAAAAAAAAAAGTTAGATACCTATAAGAATTTGAAAAAGAAAAAGATAGAACATTTTTTGACATGAAGCTAAGGAGATTAATATCAAAGTAGTAGGATTAAGCTCATTATGCAATTATAATGCACATGTTGTTGTTCAATTTGATGTGTGAACCTTTGTTCTTGGCGATAGTTAAATCAAGAGAAAATCATTCCCAAGGAAATAAAAGGTACACTTTCCAAGGGAGCAACTCCTCAAAGGATAAGAGTAATGAGAAAAATAATATGCATATTAGTTAAATAGCTCTATTATAGTCATAGGTCATACAATACCTCCATTGCAGTATAAGTTCAATATCAAGTTCACGATCTAGTTCCTCAATTTCTTTATTGTCGGCAACTACTAGTCGATTCACGTCAGATTTAAGCAGTGATGCATATAGGGATACATATTTCTTTCGCAATCTTGCATATCTCAAAACCTGCTCCCATAAAATTTTTCCACTGCCACAACAACGAGATTCTTAGAATATGCATAACCAAAAGTAAATCCAGTTAAAATCCAATCATGGTAAAAAAAGAAGAGAAAAGTACCCCACGTGCATAAACTTTTATGTCCTAGCTTTAATAAAAGAGAAATCGGGAAACAAAGAAGAAAATCCAAGATACGAACCATCCTCTATTAAACAGTATTGAGTTTCATTGATACACTTAAAGATTTCCAAGATGGTACAGATTAAAGATTTTATCTTGGTGGAGGCCAATCATATGATGAGATGTTGTGCAATAAACAATAAATGAAATCTAGAACAGAAATACATAGAAGTATCTTGTTTAGGTACCTAGCCTTCTTCATATGATCAGAAACAGCTTTGTAAGCATACTTCCACCAAGACCTTGGATTTGACTTCAAAGAGAAACGCGGATGGTAATGGGCATACTTTAACCTCTGATTGAATGCAGTGAAGTTGTCAGCCACTTTTAAGATGTCCCTGTATCCATCCTGCATGTACGAAGATGATAATTTCATTAAAAACCTATACTGAATATAATCAAAAAGCACTTCTGAGATGGGAAAACTAGAAATAACCTTTGTTAAACAAAGTGTCACATTATCCAGGCTCACTACAGCTTTCTGGAGAGGCTGATCACTATTAGAAGATTCATTCTGCCGCAGCTTCAAGTACTTTGCATCGCCAGTGACTGGTTGCAGGATATAGTTGTGCTCTTCTATAGGATGATCAGCTGGTCTACCATCTTTTGTACCAAATTTGAATACCTGCAGTTCATGGGGAACAAGGACATTCTTCTTGGTCTAGAACTAAGAAAACCAACAGACAGAAAGTGACGGGAATACCTGAACACACTCAACAGGAAGTAAATCCTCCCACGGTTTATCGATATACCATTGCAATGTATCAGAATCCAAATACAGAGCAAGCCGATCCAGTTCAATGGACTATAAGTAGGGGGAATAAAAACACAAATCGGACATCGTAAATAATTAAAAATAAATAAAATACTCATGAGTAGGAAATTAAGGGAGCAGGAAATCAAAAGGATGTGAATCTCAGAAGAAAACTGATGAGAAAAAAAGAGCTCCAACAGTCACAGTGGTGTGATGTATAAATATATAGAATCATGATGAAACAATATGATGAAGCCTTTTTATGATAATCCATATTTAGTAAACTTATGTCCGTCAAAACTAATAGAAACAATGAAAAATCAAATTTTGATATTTACTAAAAGAGGTTTACCTTCTGTATACGATCCAATGCACCGCCAGTAACAAAAGTTTCGTTCCCACTATCATCAGTTGTTACAGCAGAGAGATTCTCCAATGTAAGGCCAGCCGCAAAAGGGTGACCAGGGTTGCTAACATTAAAAGGAAGAAAAAGAGAATTTAGTTCCAGACAAATTGCTAAGAACACAAAGCGTAAACCCTTAGGTTTTTTCTTTACCTCTCAAGATCCTCATATCTGATGTGAATATTAGAGATGGAGAGCTTCAGGTTACCCATTATTGTGCTGATAAGGGATCCCAACCACGAGTTATTCTTCAAAGACAAAAGTACTTTTAAATCATAATCAACACCCGAATTTAAAGTTCAGTAAAGGAATGACTCAGAAGTCAAAAACCAGTTTTTTTACACAAGCAAAACAAATATTGGCAAATGTCAGAGGATAAATGCAGAATCAAGGGAAAAGAAGTGGAATACAGTTATGCTCCAAAAAAGATAAGACATACATATATATATATATATATATATTGATAGAAATAGGAGGCCTCATTAAAAACCTCCCTCATAGTTAGCTCTTGTGAAGAGGTAAATAGCGGAAGGAGGAAAATGATACATCAATTTATAGATAAACCATAATTACATAAGAGTACACCTTACAAAATACCTGAAATTAAACACAACATTACAACAATAAGATTGCACACATTCAACAAATGCCCTCCTTAGCTAACTTATCTGCCTCCCAATTACAACTCATAGGAATCAATCTAACAATAATCTCCCTAGCAGAAACTAATGCTCCAATTTCCCTAACCAAAGAACCTAAAAACATAAGGGCACAAAACGGCTTTATAATCCAGTCCAATGCAGTTTTACAATCACTCTCTATTATAAGTCTTCCCTGCAAAGCCCAGTCAGAAGAAAGAAAGAAATCAATTCCTTCTTTAATAGCTTTCAACTCAGCCAAAGTAGGAGGACCTGGCCCAACAGTAATAGAGAAAGTTGCTAAAGTATATCATTTTGAATCTTTCAAAATTCCTCCAATTCCCCCTGTAACCCATCACCTCTTACCGCTCCATTGACATTGAATTTAAAAAAATCAGGTGGAGGTGGAAGCCAACAATTAACCTTCTTTGTGCTAGACCTGTCTGCAAGCAAGGGATCCCCTACCAGTAAATCAGCCTGAATACGAACCTGAGGGAATTTTGCTAAATACCATTTAGCCAATCTAAATCTGGCAATGAAGGACAGAGAAGAATTGTCAAACTTAAAGTTTTCAAACACTACCAAACTCCTAGCCTTCTATAATGACCAGAAAACAACTCCCGGGATAAACTTCCAAATAGAAGAATTCTGCCTTAGTGACGACCAAGAACAAAGTAGGGAAGTAGGGTCTTGTGGCAAAACAGTAGAAACATCCTATAACCTTAGGAATGTATTCCACATCTCACCTACAATAGAACATGAGATGAAAAGGTGTTCAATTATTTCTTCATGCTTATGGCATAAAGGACAAAGCACATCTTCCAGTGAACACCTCTTTTCTTCAACTCCACCCTAACAGCCAATTTGTGATGTGAAATCTACCATAGAAATGTTTCAACTCTAGGAGAAGCCAATCCAGACCATACCCACTCATTCCACTCGGAATTTCCTTCATTGATGCTCGATAGCGTCAATCTACACGACTTGACCGAGAACAAACCATCACCCTTCCCTGACCAAGCCAGAAAGTCATCCACTGAATCAGACATCACTATATTATCAATCAAATACATTAAAGCAATCCACTAATCCAATTCCCAGTCGCATAAATTCCTTCTTAACTGAATATTCCAAACCCATCCATTATTTTCAAAACCACCAAACTCAGCCACTTTTCCCCATTTATTAGTAGACAAAGCAAAAATCATGGGGAATTGTGTTTTTAAGGTCGAATTATTAACCCAAACATCAGTCCAGAATGCTATCGACCTACCATTCCCCACCTGAATCTTTGAATTAGTTCTCAAACAGTCTCTTATCTTGTCCCTTTTCACATAATTGTTCAAAATACCTCTTCATATCCATGAATCTTGAGGAGAAACAACCTTGCTTATTGAAAGAGACAAGTTGCTAACATTATTTTTGCAGCAAACCAACTTTTTCCACTGACTATCTTTTTCATTAGCGAATTTTCAAATCCATTTCCCAAACCCTTTCTTCAACTGTAACATTCTCCCTCTCTAGAACTTTAGAAATCTGTGTATTGAAAACATGATCCCCCTCACAACTTCTCGGCCCGACAGACTATTCTTTATCCGCTTCAACAATCTGTTCAATTTGAATCATTTCTTTCTACCTCCCTGTATTATCTTTCCAACAGCTAGCATCACCATCATCAGTAACTTCCAAATGGATAGCTGAAATGTTATTGGGCTAGGGTATAAATCTACCAGTATTATTTTCCTCTCCAATCCACTTTAGATTATATGCAGGCCCACTAGGTATTATTTTCTTAATTGGTGAAAAGGCAGCCCCATTGTCAATTGATTGTGCTTTGTAGTCGGTGTAATTTATTTTCCTCAATCCAAGACCCACGTGATTCTCAACCTGATTTGTCTTTTTTTTCTCAAAGAAAACTGATAACCCACAATTAGAATTTTCAGCAGTTGACTTACTCGATGGGACTTGTCCCCCATTTACTCCATAATCACAACTATTCTGAACATTATTCAGCCAAGAGATGACTTTCATCCTGGACTCCTCTGATATCTCATGGTTTACAGCTTTTTCCAGAATAGGATGCTGGCTATCCCCCTCCAAAGACAAGACATAATCACTTTCCTTTTTTTTTTAAATTTCTCATCCTTCTTCCCCAACATTCTTTTGGTTTTTCAAGACTGAACCCAATGAAATTTTTACTTTGAACGATCTGCCATAGAAACCTATTGTGACTGTATCTGGGACATCAAAAGGACTCTTTACCCTGAGCAAAACCTTTGCCGATGAAAGATCCGATCTGCTCTTTGATTCCTCATAGAAATAAATAAATTTTCCCTACCTCCTCGTAAGTTTTTTAATGAATGCATCATTCCAGCACAATAGAGGCATTCCATACATCTCTACTTGGCAAAGGGCCAACGGAACTCCATCATTCAGCATAGGAGCCAACCAATCGAAGTATAATAACAACTCTTCTTTCTTGTTCATCCATACATATGAAAACTCATCAATCATATTGAATGTAATATGCAAGCATTCCATGCATAACCCCATTTCGAAATCTGTACTCCTACTCCCTCATGCTCCAAAGCTTCCTTTATCGTATCTTACTCAAAGGAAGGCTTCATTATCCCTGTTAGTGATCTCTTAACCCACTCGTAATTTTCCAATGGTATATGTATCTCCCATACATTTCTCACACCAATTGCATTCTGCTTTGAACCCTCCAAGTTTTCCCCTGAAACTGGTTCTTTTCTCATATTATGATCAGTATTCACAACATCCTTATACGATCTGCCATCCCTCATGCTTCTCACCGACTCATCAATCCTCCCGATTTTTGAACTTTCTTGTTTTCCTGACTTGTTCTCCAACATCCTCTTCCCATAACCAACTTCCCTCCTCGTAGCCTTTTGATACTTTGCAATCCCTACTGAGACTCTTCTCCCATCAATCCACTTTCCATTAACATACTGGATTGCCTTCTTTCTACACTCTTCACCCGCAAATTGGACAAATGCAAACGTTGAAGAAAGTAATTTGGTTTCTCTAAAAAACGTGGGATGTAAATTCTCAAAATCTGACCATAAGGACTAAAATAATCCCTTAACACACCTTTTGAAACCCTCTTACTAAGATTATCAATGAATACAGTCCATTCCTCATCGGAGGTGTTGGACTTTTTCAAATTTTCTCTAACTCTCTCTCTACCTATCACACTCATTTTCTCCCCTTCAAATAACTAAACACCATATGTTCCAACTTACACTACCTCATATCACCATATGTTCTAATGATTGATGATATTTGTAAGCAAAGAAACTTCATAAAACCTGGATGCTTAAGGATCATATATAAAGGGAAAATTCATAGAAATAGAAACAAGGATCATAAAGGGGAAAACTTATGTATGGAAAAGAAAGTCTAAAAATAGAAAACAAACTGTTCAAAAAAATAACCATGAGCAGAACCATGACCAACAAATGACAGACAATATCAAAAGCAATTTATTGAAAATCTCATTAAAAATACCATTGCCGGCTTCAGTTGGTGCATCCTCTCTAATAGCTTCAATTCCAAGTTCTATTACCAAAAAATTAAATTAATAAAAGAAATTCAATCTAAAACACTTTTATATGGTTAACATTATCAACGTTCACACTGCTCACAAAGGTCTTACCCGTACTCGGCTTTTCTTTGCTTCTTGGACAGCATCCTCACTACACCCTTCAACTGAGGTTGCAGGCTCGGCTAAAAGGAAAATTTGATCCAAGTAAACCAAAACCGGATGCTGACCAAGCCTACTCCATGGAACCTGAAGTTAGCATGTGAAACACCCAAGCTTAGAAGAATGAAACAAAGTTTACAAGAATTACACAATGCATTCTAAGAAAAAGTTGCATCAACAACACAAGCTTCATGAAACGGTCGTTGCCCCTTTTTCATAGGACTAACATCTTTTTCATAGGACTAACATCCAAGGTTCAAATCTCATCTTCCCCTCTTAGCCTTCCTCATATTTACTGAAATTAGAAGTAGCGTGCAAAACAGCAGTTTCCTTAAATTTACAATTCAATATCAGGCATAATATATTACCAACCAGTCATCGCTTCCACACAGTCACCGTATCACTAACTTCATCTCAACCATCTTCAGCACCAGCTTCATCACGTCATAGGCTTCGCGCTCATGAACTATTGTAATTTCATTTGTTTTTAAATTTAATAAAATATCCCCAAGAAATTCAGAAAACACCCAAGACATTGAGGATTGCCCCATACGTCAATAAAATTTTATGACAACAATATTCTACACCACAAACCATGAGTTTAGCTGATCCAAGAAATCCTGCTTTAACTTTCACCGGCAACTTCAACTCATTAAGTGCCTCTGGCGTCAGTTGAATGTTTGTTAACTCAACATCACCTGTTTTTTTACATTTCAGAAAATAAGAGAAAAAATAATCAAGAAAACTGCAGAATCCAAGAGAAGCAACCTATTGGTGCTACTGATCTAAGATAGCCCTCCATGCTTATGATCACTTAGAACCAATACTATATGATAGTCATTTGACTAACGCTTTCATCCACCTTCAAAGATTAAGCAAGTAGCAGTAGACCAATTGAAAATTACATTTAACTAAAAAATAAACCAGCATTCACGTTTACTATCTCTGCTGTTTTTTGGCTCATCCAATCTAATCATGCCTCAATAATAATCGTGAACCCAAACTACCCAAGTGTATCCAAATGAAGCACATTCAAAGAAAAGAAACATTCAAACTAAGGCTTACAAACAATACAGGAAGCATAAAAAGGAAACCCATAGTGAATTATGTCGACAGTCGTAGACTAAACCCAACAGAGACACCCCAAAAGAAAAAAAAGTTTATAAAATATCACAAACCTCGCCAAACACTGATCTTAAGAGTTTCTTTATTGAGACCTTCACGTAATTTCCCAAATACCTCTGCAAGAGGTTAGTCACTTGATCCTCCAACATTTTTGCTCTTTTTCTTTGGTGGGTTCTTGAATTTGACAACCCAAGATACTACTGATCCAAGATGCACAAAAAATTGTAAGATGTAGGCAATACAGGATGAAAAGAATAAATCATAGGTTTTTTTTTGGGTTCTTTTTCTCTTTTTCTTATTTTCTCCCACCAAAGAAGATTATGGTGAATAATGATAATAAGAAAACGACTTTTTCTCCAAAAATACTCTGCGCGCGAACTCTTAGGATATAAGGTAATTTTAATGGATAAACTACAAGTTTAGTACCTAAATTATTACTTTTATTCTATTTTGATACCTATATTTTTTCATTTTTTACAAAATCATGTCGAATGTTTTGTTTATGGTTTTAATTTGGTACTTCACCATAAACAATTAACAAAATTTCTGATATGGTATTTTTACTTTTTTTAAATGATGTGGCATTACGTTATGGTGACACATCAACATCATCGTTAAGTTTTTAACGACAGGGTACCAAAAAGAAACTTAAATTAAATTATAAGTATGATTTTTAAAAACTAAAGTCTGGGTACACAAACAGAATAAAAGTAATAATTTAAATACTAAACATGTAGTTTACTCAATTTTAATTTACGTGGTCAAATTAAACCTAACCTTTGCTATTTAGAATTTGATTATAGAGATTCAGACATATAATTTTTGAATGGATGGACATAAATAAAATTTTAGGATTGACACCACCATTAAAATAGGTAATCAATCGAAAAAAATTCGAGTTACACAATATGATACAAATAAATTTCAATATATACATTATTAATAAAATAAGTAACTAATAAAAAAATTCAGATTCAAAATAAAACACTTGTGTACTCTCAACCCTCAATAGATCCGAGGAAGATAATTTTATTGTTTTAGGAATGACCCGCTAATTCCATATTACTTCCAAAAATTAACTTTAAGATATCAATATTTATCCACGTCTACTGAAAAAAGATTTTAGATTCTTAATCTAATTAATTTTTAAATAAAAATTAAATCAATTAAATTTATAAATCGATAAATTGAATTAATTAAGTCATTCAACTGATTTTGATTATTAAATTTTAATAGATTTTTTTAGAGATAATACAATAACATTTGAATTTTTTTAATAATTCAAAAATATTAACATTATAAAAATATTAAATATTAAAAGTATTTTAAATTTAAAAATATTAATTGTTAAAAAATATAAAAAATTATTTTCAAATTAAAAAACATTAAACATTATTAAAAATTTTAAAAAATATGAAAAAACTATTTAAAATGTAAAAGTTATTAAAAATGTAATAAAACTATAAAATATTATTTTGGAAATATTAACCATGTCGAAACCATTTTTAAAATTTATTTAAAATATTTAAGTTATAATCACATAAAACCACTAATAAAACATTCATAACTAACCTAACTATGTGTATGAGGCTAGAATTTCGACTAGTGATCCGTATGACCTTAGACGATTAAATTTGAGTCAAACACTCGAGATAGTCTTAAAACAAATGTGAGAAGCCAAAAGTTCTTCAAGCATTGAAAAAGCAATTTAAAAAAATTAAAACAAAAATGAGAAATCCATACAAATAAGAGAGCTAGAAAGATAGAGCTTTGAGTAAATGCTTTGATTTCTTGAGGAATGTATTGAATAAATGAGGTGAGGAATGACTCTGTCTATAGTTGAGTCTTCTTACATCCAGCAATTAAAATGAATTATATCAACGACTAAGATTAAAGTTTATCTACAAGAGAATTTTACAAGAAAAATCTATAACGACCTAAAAATCTTCAGAACCAAAATTTAATTGGACCTTTGGGTTATCATCTTTATTTTGGGCTCTTTGAATTAATGAAAATAAAGAATTAAAAATAAACATAAAAAAGATAAGTATTATAATAGGTTTTTTAAAAGAGAGAAAAAGACAAAAAAAATACTCATCTTCCTCCCATAACAAGCATAGTCAATGGTTAGTGAGAGAAAACATAAGTTCTCTCCTACAACTTCATTTTTCTTCCGATCTAGTGATATTTATAAGTGCTTCGTGAAATGTGAAGTTGTTCCCCTTCAAATTCTCGTCAAGATGAGCAACATATTAGAGGGTTTTAGCTAGTGAAGGAAAAATCCTAATGGATTTTAGAGAGTTTTTAAGATTTAGAGAGAAAAGCATTAAATAGAGTTACTGTTAATTAGTAAAGTCACACCCCCCATTAATTTCATATTTAGTTCTATTAATGTGCCTATATGCATATTTAAGTGAGTATATGCATATGCATATGTAATATTGTTAGTTTTGAGTTCTTTATTGATTCTATTGTGTATTGTGCATATGTGAAAAATTTCAAAGCTCTAAGAAAATAATCGGAGGATGGAACCTCTAGAGACAAGAAGCAAATAAGAAATTAAGTCATTTCTACCTTTATTTTGGGTAATTGGTAGCGTAAAGGTTTGTGATGAGCCTCTTAGATATGTGAAGTTACCATTGTGTCAAGGTATGATAGTTCATATCCTACATGTCATGCATGATTCATTATGAAAATTGTGACTAATGTGGAATATTATGATGCTATTGAACTAATTTTTTCCAAGTAAACTTGTTAAGAGCATTAGGGTATAACTGACATGTCATAAAGTCTAACAGATGTATTGTGGTGCGTTCATATATATTGTGACACCGTAGTGCATTGTAGCACTTTGGTACATTCTGACACTTTTGTGCTTTAACAGTTTGATACATTATGGGCATTTGTGCCAATTTTTTGACTCGTGTATCCTAGTTAGTCTTATTGTGTTACTTCGAGCATTATAATATGGATTAATATAATTGAGAATGTGATGCATGCATCACAAGGCTCACATCAAAGGAAGATAGACTATCACTTCCAATTGATCCACATGAACAAGTCTTGGAAAAGAAGAATAACATAACAACATACTTGCAACTACTTTTCAAATGGAGATTCTGATCTTATTCGGTCAACATTTCTTCTAGAGATATGATAAGTTGTCTCTTAACTTTCCAACTATTTTTGAATCACATCAATCTGATATCGGAACTCAAGATACATTTATTTTACTGAAGACAACGTATGCACAGATTCTCATACGAGATTAATATGAGATTTTATAAATATTACGAATTTTCAATATTTTTATTGATTATTTGTAATATAATTTAATATAGTATGATGCATTATCTTTTAGGATTAGATTTATTATTTTATTAGGAATTAAGATTGAGTTAAAACATTATTCTTAGTTTATTATTATTTTATTAGGAATTAGGATATAATCGAAACATTATCTTTATTCATTAGTCATGTTGCAACAAGGACTTCTTACCCTATATAAAGGAGGCTTCATTCAAATTTGAAAAGGCAAATTTCTTTGATTAATAATACAACGAGGGTTTGCTTTTACAAATGGTGATTGCGTTGTGCCTTCGAAGCTTCTTTTCATTTAAGTTCTTTCAAGTTTTTTCAATTTCTTTGTCGTAACCGATTTTCACCCGGGCACGAATTTTCTTGGTAGAAAAGCTAGTGAATAAATAAATGATTTTTAAAGAAATGTTTTAGAGTCGCCATCGACTTTTTGGGTTAGGTAGGTCGAATACCTAAAAATCATTTTTAAAAGAATTTTTAAGAAAACATTATTTAAAAGATAAACCGGTCTGCGTATAACCAAAAATTCATTCTTTTTAGTAATAAAAAAGGATTCGTGGTCGATTACATTTGGGGAAGGATTAACACCCCACAACGCCCAAAATTGGTACTCATTAATTATAAATTGTCTCTATTAGTGGAAATCTAAGAATTCAAGTATAAATTTAATTTACGATTCCAGATTCAATCGCATAATTTTATTTAAAGAAAATTCTAAGGAAAAATAGAAAATATTCCAATATTTCCAATCGAAGAGAAAATAATCCCTAAAATACTTTAGGACGAATATTTGTCTTTCCGACTGAAATAATAAGAATATGATAATTCCTCACTAAGAATTTTAGATTGAAATAACTTGATTCGACTAAATAGGCATATTTGATATTTTAGGTTTTTATAAGTAGGGTATTTATTTATTTTAAAATATCAGAATACGACATCTAGTTACTTTAAGACACTTATTTCTTTAATATTTAAAAATAAAAAAATATTGTCCTTTAATCAAATTATGTTATACCCAAGAGTTTTTCATATATATATTCATATGACTAAAATGTAATAAATAAAAAATAGTAGTAATAATTAAAGTACTAAATTTAAAGTATTGAAACATAAAGAGCAATAATAAAATTGAAATTAAACAGTGACCAAAATATAATCAAACAATAGTAGTATATCAAAAGTTAAAATAAAATAAAATGTAAATATGACCAAAATAGAAGAAAAATAAAATTAATGTGCTCAAATTCGAAATAATAAAAAATGAGAGAACTAGTGACCAAAATGGAAATTCATGGCTAAAGTACGGGGACCTAAGTGGTGGTTACACCAAAATTAGTGATCAGAACGAAAAAGAAGACTAAACAAGGAGAACCCAACTTGCGATTTTCCCCAAAATTCATATTAAAAACCCCATTTCCATTTTTGTTTCATTTTCAAGCTCACCTAAAAACTAATATGCTCTCATTTTCCTCTTTTCCTCTTGTTGCAGTCGCTTAAAGGCTTCCATGGCCTAACCTCGCCGGTCACTGCCACGGTGACCGTTCCTCATCCCGTCCGGCCCCATTTACGACCGACGAAAGACCTATCCCGAGTGACCCAACGCTATTCGATTCCCTCTCTAAAGGAACAGCCCGAACCGAGGGCTAAGACCTCACTGCCACGCGGCTGGAATGGCCATCGACAGCCCCCTTAAACCGTCACCAACAAACTCTCAACCCAGGACCCAACGACGCCTAAGGTAAATGTTTTCTTATCTTTTCTATTTTTTTTACTTAATCTACTGTTTTTATTTTGAAAAATAAAATAAAATGTTAAGCTGAAAAATAAAAACAAAATGTAAAGAAACCTTGGTTGTGTTTTATTTTTCCAATCCTTTGGGTATATTGTTGCTCGATCCTCTCTAAAAATTACATACTGTTCTGGGGGTTTTATAGCC